TTAAAAACTCACGAGAAAATGGTACAAAATCAACAAAAAAGGTTAGAAAACCAAACAGCCAAAGAGCCTCCATTCAAAGTTGGTGACATTGTCACAAAGCGAGTTCATATTTCACACAAAGATTTGGGTAAATTAACACCTTCGTTCAATGGTCATTACATCGTTATTAAGGTCCTAGAATCTTCGGTTAAAATGATAAATCAAAAAACACTGAAAATGGAAAAATCAAATTTCGTTCACTTAAAATTGGTAAATCGTAACAACATGGATTCAACCTCGGAAACCGATGAAAATCACGAGAGTAATCATGTTGAATAACTAACTTAATTGAATACAACTGATTAACAACTCTAACATTTCACTACTGGAAATTTATGTTTCTCACGTTAAATTAAGTTTCCAGCAAATTACTCGAAAACCACTAAAGATAATCATATTCATTCCATGTTAGCTTTTAATATTCATCTGAAATCCAATCGATTGATGTATTCGAAGAGCCGATCCGATCAACTTTTTGACCATGCTGGTTTGTATTGAGAGATGATAATTAACTTCATCTGTGAATAACTTGGAATTGGTTCATCTCCAAGCCACTTGTCTATAATATGATTTGATCAGTTTTCACGCGCTCGAATGCGCTATAAATCATCTCGATATCTTTTAAACGAATTTGCAGAAAAATATTTTTCACGACCAAAAGTCAAAATTTTCATTCGAAAATTGTAGCAAAACCTCAACACTTAGCATACCCGTTTCTATGTTATATTTTACTCAGTTTGTGATGAGCTTTCGATTGGTATTAATTACGTGGTGATAGAAGCAAAAAATTTCCCACGTGCTTTTCCATAGAGAGAAGTTCGAACTTTCGTTTCTCAGCAAATACTTGTTCTTATACCAATTTAAAGCTCTCATTATGCCTCTTTTGATCGATATTCAAACCTCATCATTTGTGATATCTAACATAGCTTTTATCAGAATTCAAAAAAAAAATCGTCGATTCAAGTTGAAGGTAATTACCTTCAACAAACGAATTGAATGTCAATCTAGTTCACATCAATTGCAGTCAATGAGTTTGGACAGTTCATATCTTATGCTACAAATCATTAAATTGATTGATCAAATTTTCTTACAAAACAAAATACAGAATAATATTAGTTGGAATCAAGTAAATACTTTCTAATTGTCTTGATCAAATTATCGATAAGAGTAATTGGCAAGTGACAATTTTTTGAATACAATTATCGTATGTAAACTTTGATCGTTCAAATTAGATATAATTAGTTGATTATCATAATTGAATGTGAACAAGTAATTACTTGTTCACTAATGATGTTTGCTGATCGACTGATTGATTTTATTTTTAAGCGTAACTAAAGAGATAAAAAAGATTGGAAAATTTTTAAAATGATCAATTTAATCAGTTGTTTGATTTTGCCTCAAAAATGATTGATAAAAAATCTTTAAATTGTCATCACCATTTGAGCAGCAATCAAATCAACATCAGATGACAATCAAATTGGTTTCCTTTTGTCTTCACTTCATCAATTAGTTTCTTTTCTCTGAATCTGTTAATTGAAAATTCAAATTTCAATTGATTCATTTTTCTGTTAATAAAATCGGCAGTGAAATTTTGGCTTCTAATTGGTTCTCATCTGTTTGTAAAGGTAATTACCTTTACATTTGGATCGTCATCAGCATAATCATCTTATCCTTTTCATCACATTGATCGCATCTTGTTTTGAATCAATTCTATTCAATTTTTCAATCGATTTGTTTTGATACCTGATCATTTTATTCATCATTTTGGTTCTTCGTTTTTCTTAATATGCTCTATTGTTGTGTTCTGTGTCAAAAGAGAAAGTAATTACTTTCTCTTTCTCTCTTATTCTTATTATTCTTTCATTTGTTTTTCTTCTCTTCTTATAATTCGAAAATTATCATCGAGATAATTCAATCAGGAATATAAACTCTCGTTCTTGAGAAAAAAGTGATTACTTTTTCACCTTCAGATTTACATCAACTAAAAGAAATCATAATGTCAACTCAACAAATTGAGAAAACTGATCAAATCCCGTTAAGCATTTATATGGACTTTTTAAAAGAAAGGATTTATACTCGTTATTTATATGAAGAAATTTCTATCGAACAATACAATTAGTTCGACCTCGACCAGGATTTTGTTTATCATTGGACAACGATGAACCTTCCAGTCGAGATAATTGTGTTCTCTGTCTTCATTTGGTTAGAGATCCTGTAGTTTGTTCGTCTTGTGAACTAAGGTATTGTTCCAAATGTGCTTATTTTCTGATTACTTTATATAAACTTAACAATCGTTGACTCATCAACAACAAACTCAATCAATCTTAATGGAGAAAAATTCAACTGTCTTACCATAACCTGTCCTGAGGATTGTTACCTTTTCAAAGACAACAAAAGTGATTTATTCAAGTTTAATGTGAAATGTATCAACATAAATTGTGATGTAATTGGTGACTATGATTTTCTATGTGATCATATTAGGAACTGCTATAAACGAACTGATCAAATAAGGTTCAAAGTTTCCACCGGAAGTTCCATTTTCCAATCAAATGATACAACTACATCTTCAAACTACGACATTATGAGAATCGAAGAAAGTTTAAAACATCAATACATTAATCTTGAGAACTTACATCAACAGTATATAGACAAGCTATCTTGTTACAATAAATATCTATCGGAAAATAACTTGGAAAAGAAAAGATCACCTTCACCACATCCAGATGAACCATCTAACAAGTCAACTAAATCATTATCATCTTCACCTTCAACACAAACAACTAACCTTAAAGATAAACCCTTATTAAGAACCAGGAATTGGAACGAGTACTCAAGTTATTTCACTTGTCCACCGAAGTTGAGACCGAATTTAGTTCAAGAAGATTCATTCACCTTAAGAATTCCTGAAAATTGGATTTCATCTCAATCTGCTAACAACGAGAAGAAGTTAATTACTTCCTCAGAATCACCAATTATTGAAGACGATCCTGGTGATAATATAAATCTAAATTTGGTAACATCGGAAGCTAATGAAATACAAGAATGGGAAGAAGATCTCCATTGGAATGATCCACCACCAAGATCACCAGAGCTCTCAACCTCTTCTACCTCTGGATCATCATCCTTTTCTTCTCTTTCATCAGAATTTTCATCTCCATCAATAAATTATCAACCACTAACTCAAGGACCAACGCCGAAAGCTTGTTACAGGTCTAACTTTAAAAACATTAACACATTTAGAGAGTTTATCAAAAGACAAAATAACCCAGCTAAATATAATCTTAAAGTTCAAGTTCAAAAAGAAAGAAAAAACAAAGAACGTCTTCAGAAAAGACATAATGATGTAACCCTTGAAATGGCTCCACCTCGTTCACATTTAAAGCAAATCTCAGAAGGTCTAGTAAAGGCAAAGAACAGTGGCCTTTCTATTTGCTCAATCGACATGGAAAATACTAAAATCAAAATGCGAGATGGTACCATCAAAGATGTTCCAATTTGGATTGCTATTATCGACGCGCAAAATGTTCGAGTCGTTTATCATGAGTTTATTCGTCATCCCGCTGCTTCTTTGCTCGATCAAGAATTCGGAACGCAAATTCATGGATTAACTAAGGAAGAGGTTAATCGGGGTAAACAGTTTACCAAAGTTAGATCAGAGGTTATCGATTTACTAAGAAAATATGATCGAATTGTTGTTTCTGGTCAAACAGGAGATTTCGTTAACCTATTCATATCAATTCACGATCATCTTCAGTTGTTACCTAGAATTGTCTGCGTCTCTTCTTATTACAATTGTCGAGGTCAGAATCAAGCCCTTGGTCTAAAATTCGCCGCTTTTCTCATGTTTAACGTTATATTGCAACAAAAACAACATTCACCGTTGATTGATTCAGCTTATTCATTATATCTGTACTTGATTGATTTCGAAAGAATCGAGAAGATAAAAGCTAATCTGTTCGAAACCAGGAACATGAACAAAGGATTTCGTGGTTATATTTACCCTCTTAATCACCACATGGCCTCCTTGTTACATAAAACGATGGACGTTATTGGTGATTGGCCTCATCATTTTAAATTCAGTGCTTATGATAACCCATTCAAGAGAAAACAAAAAATTAACAGACAATTGTACAACGAGTTAGCTTTCATCGCACCCACTCCAGATCATCTTGTTCCTAATCCATATAAGTTTGATGAGGTTCGTAAGCGATCATTGATCACTCTCAAGCCTCGTCGAACCCGTTAAAGAGTCCGCACTCAGCTTTGGCGGGGGGCTCTGTAAGGGGAGGTAAGCTGCTCTTACCCCCAAACTCACCTCATCATCAACAACCAACAGAATCAAAGGTTGATTAAGTGTCACCTTAATCAAAGGGTATAAAAAACAAGATTGTTAAAGACAAACAGTCAGTTGATGTGAACCAGTTAATCCTAATCCTTGTTAAAATTAAATCTCTTTGTGTTAAACTCTTGTCCATATTGTTAATCCTAATTCAACATTAAAACTATTCATAATTAATTAACTGTTGTTACCCACTTGTGTTGTGGATTAAGTAATTACTTAATCTACTGTGATATGAGATTGGCCCCTAATTAAAGATTTCGGTAATCGAGTGTTCCGATAAAGTAATACTCTTACAATATGATAGTAAGAATATTGTTCGAGCTTCTTTACCAGAACTTTTCGTCTCATTTCATTTAGATCAATTGAAAGGCTCTTTGATCCAACGATAACCATTCAGAATTCATATTACCATGAATGAATAATTTTCTCGTGTTTTTTTTATCCACCAAAAAAAAGGAATGAAATAGAAAATATTGTGTTATCACCATGATGAATTTTTTTGAAAATTCTGTTGGGAATTCTGATGAACAACAAGATTGTCTTTGTTTCTTTATTCTGAAAGTACAATATGAGTGATTCCAATTGATTGACATGAAGTATCATCCTCATCATTTTCATCATTATTTTATTAAAATGTTTTCTTTGTTACAAAATGATACCTTTTACCATGATGGATGTTGAGTTTCACCAGATTTTATTCAGAAATTTTGAGAAAACAATGAAAATTATAGACAGTATTGAAAATAAGCAGCATCTGAATCTTTGGAATTGAAATGAATCTCATGGAATTCACAGTTCTCATGAATATCCATTGAGCTAAGAATGAGGAAAAATGTTGCTCTCAAGTTGGAGATCAGGATCAGTATTGCTGAACTTTCACCAGTAATCAAGGAATCTGAGAAATCTTCTCCATGGTTATCGATTAACTTACCCTTTTTCCACCAAGATAAGAATATCGTCTCTGAATTATTCTGTGAACATTATCGTTATCCCATCTTTCATGATGATAAAGATCTCATCTTGTCACTTGAAGTAAAGAGCAAACAGCTTGAGGCTATTAAAATTGATTCAGCGAACAGATAAAAAAAAAGTTCTAACATGATAAGCTCATTGAATCAGCTTTCTTTTAACATGGTAGCTAATCACAACCATGAATGAATTCACACTCAAATGTTATCTTTTTCAACTGAGAATACAAATTTCCCCATGTAAGAAATGCAAAGTTTTCTGAGATAAACTTTCGTTGAAATTTAATTAAATGTGAATCAACTATTGGGGTATCAAGAAAATTCCGGGGCAGAGAAAAGGAAGTGAACTTTTTCTCCCTGAGCTCAAATTTCAGGGTGGAAATATATATTTGCATACACCAAAAGGGGTGAAAATATCGAGCAAATATTTACATTGAATTGATTACTTGTATTCATTTAAAAGGAGAAAATCAAATTGATGCTCTATTTAAATTGAATTGAAAATTATCATGATAATTTCATATGAATCAGAATTTCTTATTGACAAATATCATCATGTTAATATGATTGATAAAAAAACAAAAGTTGAAATAATCATTTGAAAGTTAAAGTATTAACATTTTCATTAGCTAGGAAAGGGTTAATGGATGAAGATGATTACGATAAGCATGATGATGAATTCCCATGGATGAATCTGAATGAAAATCTGAAAGGAAGAAGGGAAAATGATAACAATATGATATAGTGAGGGCGGTAAATAAAAGATTAGACATATTAATCAATTAGTCTTGCGAATATGAAGAAAAAAAGAAAGAAAATATCTTAAGAAGCGGAAACGGAAGAAGGAGGAAGAAATAGCGATGAAAGAAAAGAGAAAAAAAATTGGATAGAAAAAAACGGAAGGAAAAAGCAAGTATCAAGAATAGAGAGAATGAAATAGTAAGAATGAGAGAGAGAGAGAGAGAGAGAGAGAGAGATTAAGATGATGATAATCATCTTCATCTTCTCATCACATCTAAACTTCCTCAATAAACATTCAAAAAGTAACGATAAGAATGATAAATAGCCTGAGAATTTAGTTCCAATTCTGATAACGATTTTTTCACCATAATTAGTACTTTTTTTTATCTCCACCGAGTTAATCAGTTACCATGTTGTTCATTTACTGTTAAGTCACATTATTAGTTTCATGGTTTCCATTAATTTCCTTGGCTTCATGTTCACTTTTGACCTTAATTGTTAAATCACGATTAAGAAAAGATTAATATTTAATCACTTTCAGGATAAATTGTCTTGTTGATCTTTGTAAACAATTTATAACTTAATCATTAACATTATCTTTTGAATAAATCTAAATAATATCATGACAATGATAAAGGTTTTAATTTTGGTGATTCTCAAATTTCATGGTAATTTCAATGAACTTTTCATCTTCCTGAATCAATTTCAACTTCCGTCTCATCCTTTGATTACTAACTAATGTTGACAATATTTGTTTAACAATTTAAATTGTTCAATTAAATATTGTCCATTGAAATGAACCATTGATTACGAGAAAAGGATTCATTTGAAATTAAATTGTGATAATCATCATGATCATGATGATTCAGTGATCCAGTTATTTTGGTGACATTGATAAGTTTCACCAATTTGATGCTCATTTAAATAAATCATTTATAATCAGGATCATCAATATCATCATTATATTAAAGTTAAATCAGTTTACAGAATCAAGGAAATGATAAAATTGATTACAAATCATTGATCATCATTATCTTCATGATGAATCTTGAAATATCAGATAAATTCTGAATCTTTTTCATGAGATTTCAAGTTTTCAATCAATATTATCAAAACAATCAACTAACTCAATCACAATTAACTTTTACTTTCTGTATCATTTACTTGAAGATAATCAATCATCTAATTGCCTAAAGGAAATTGATTTTCATCTTAATTAAATCAGTTGATTTCATCTAAGATCAAGGAAACAATAAAGTTCATGATAATAACAATAGTTACCTGAATAAATCATGAACTCTGGATGAAATTTTTACTCCAGCAAGAAAAAAATATCTACTAAAGTTAATTCAATTTTCTCATAATTGAACAAGTTAAATTGTTTCACCCTTAATTCAGGATCTTTTTTGAATAAGTTTCATGAATCTTTTGTTTCAAGTTTATCATGAAAGGAAAACATGAACCCTGGAAACTAATAATTCATTGTAACAACATGATGTTTCCTATGAATATAATACTCAGGGAAGATACGAAAAAAAAAATATATTGGAGTGTTGATAAATCATGGTGACTATTATGCTGCTCAAAAAGTTATCATGATAACAGTTTGATTATTAATGAAAAGTTTCATGCAATCATCAGGGTGAAAAGTTAATTTGGTTAATGATTTTGAAAATTTGAGTTAATCATCTCGAGAAAATGAATTAATGATCATTCTGATTATTGTTGCTTTTTTCCATGGAAATCATTTCCCAGAAAGGTGATTCTTTTCACAGAACTGATTAGTTTTATTGGTTAACTATCACGAAAATCACCATGAATAAGAATAGTTGACTCAGTGAATAGACTGGAAGAGAAATGGGAAAAAATGATCCACTAATTAAATGAACAGTAACCATGAAATCGTTGAGCGATATTCTTATGGTTTGGATAAGTTCAATTCTGAATCTAAACTGAACAGAAGGAGATTTGATGATATAAGTTCTGGGTGAAGATGATGATGAGGATAATAGGGAAAGAAAGTTATATCAGTGGAAAAGCAAAAAGGAAACAAGAGAGATTATGATGATGGAGAAGATATAAAAAAGCAAATGGTTCGGACTGGAAATCTCTTTTTTCTTTCCCATGTTACCATGAAATAGATAATGATTATTGTTCACTGAAAAATAGACACTATTAAGGTCAATTCGTAGGTAGTATTTTCCTCTATTCGTGGACCTTGTCAGCTTCACACTGATTCATTGCTGAATTTTGAATGTCCTGATGAATATTACAAAGGGAAAAGTATCATGATCATCATGTAAATGTTATATTTATATGAAAAAAAAGTTCCAAATCTTTTTAATATCTTTTACCAGGAAGAAAAAAGTTTCAAACCTCAAATTGAATTGAATTGAATTGAATATCAGTTTGGTCTTGATCGTTAACTGGAAATTCAATTGAAATGGAAACTCATACATGTATTATCATGGTGATAATTTCCTCCCCCTGATCCACCCACACACATAAACTAATATATGTCAATCTGATTATCAATGAATTATATTAACTGTAATTTCAAGACTCATTAAATTTTTAGCATTTATTGTTTATCACATTTTGATGAGTTTATCGGGGGGAAAAAAGTTCCATCATGAATCTCATTGGAATGATGAAATTTCATTCTCTTTGTTTTATCTCATTATCATGACAACATTTCCACTCTCCCATTGGACTTAAAAACAATTGAAATTTAATCTCAATATTGGAAAACTATTGGTTCCATTATTGTGAATAATCATCATGATGTTACTGAATTTCTCATAATAAAAAAACAAAGGAAATTCAATGTTACTCATGATTCCAATTCTCTGAAGAAATTGAATCAAAGATTAACACAAATTCAATCTATTCACTTACAATCAAATGAAACAACAATTTAATCAACTAACTCATTCCAAGAGTAAAGTTATCAGTTTAATTATAATCATCAATTTAATCATGTGAATATAATCATCATCATGATTATATTTACTTAATGATAGAGTTGCTTTTATTTGAGTCTATGTAGTGGTCACTAATTAAGGTAAAAAAAAAACTTAAGGTAATTGGACTAATTAACTTAATTAGAAAACAAATCAACTTCCGTTTTTAAATTACAATTATATAATTTTATCTTATTAATCATTGATCATTCATATTATCGTTAATTATTCAACGTTATTATGATTTAATTGAGCTTCAAATCTCAATGGTAACATATTGAAGCTCAATAATGTTGATCAAAGTGAGTCCAGTGATGGGTCAAGAGTTACAATTAATTTAGGTTAATTATCATCGTAACTTGATTTATATATTAACCAGTAATTAGATTGTTCCAATATAATGAATAGTTAATTGTTTCGGTTAAAAATTGATGAGTCTTATTATTCATTGATAGTTGAGCAACAGAATCAATTTGATTGTCATTTTAAAATGGATTCCTGGAATGATTAAAATTATCTAATTATTCTGATTGAATTGAATTGGTGGAAAAAAAAGTTTCTTTCGAATATTATTTTTCTCGATTATTTTATTCTAATGAATTTTCCAGAATTCTCAGAATTCCCAGTATTCAAATTGTCAATTTTTCTTCTTATTTTCCTTTAAATTGTATTGTTGTTGTTCAGTTATCATGATCATGGTGATTCTTTTTGATTCTTCATTTTATTCACCATGATTATCGTTGAAATGGTTAACTTGATGAAAAATGGGTAAATAGAATTGATAAAAAAGTGTATCTGAAAATTGTTCTTTGTATATTTAACTGATTAGAATTGATTCCATGATTTAATAAGGAATTGATATTATTCAGTGGTGGGTGGTGGGTGTAAGAGTAACAGTAGAAATGGAAGAGAATTTTTTTTTCTTGAGTAAACTGAGTTTTCTCAGAGTTCCAACAATAAGATGAGATATTTATTCAATGAATTATTACATTAACATTGATGACATTAAGCTAACCCTGTTTTTCAAGCTATCGAATCAATAAATTGTTACAATTGAATATAATGATTACTACCATGTAGAGCGGTGGTTGTACAATATGCTCAGAGATTATCTGGTGAGTTTGCAAATAGAAGTAAAAAAAAGTAAATCTAAGAAATAATTAGCTGATTGTTAGTGAATTGCGATTAAATTTAATTGAAAGGATTCTGAGAAAAGGAAAAGGTTTTGCTTTAATATAACCATAACAAACTTTCACTTGGCAATTGTATTGTTTTCAGTTGTTGAAGTTTAATGTTAATTGTGAATGTTAATTAATTATCTTGATGTTTTCGTTGTTCCTCTTTTGCTTGAATTGGCAAGAAAATGATGAATATTATAAATTAGTTAATCTAATGTCCAGTCAAGTTCAACTGGACTTCAGATAAAGACAATAGTCGATTTGGTCAAAACAACAGACTGAATGACCTAAATTTCTCGTAATTTTTTTCTCTCCACTCGAATTATCCTTAGCCCTCTTCCTACTCTCTCTCTCTCTCTCTCTCTCTCTTTAATATTCTGTGTTTATATCTTTGAATAAACAGAAGAAACTGAAGGAATAGATCATGAGATCGATATTTAATGACATGGGATGAGTTCAGTTGAAGATGAAATATTTGAACAGCTTAGCGATTTGTATATATCATTAGATTGTATGAGCCAATTACGATTACCATTAGCTTTAAGTAAATTATCATCATCATCATCATCATCATTTTGTTCATCTTCTTGTGTATCATCTTCATCCTCATTCAAGTTACAGGAAAAGTAGTATAAGATTAAACAAGTAAAACCAAAGCAAATTGAAACGAAAGCCAATCATCATCATTTCAAACAATTAATCAATAATTTACATTACTCATTCCAATGATTATCTCTCATTGAAAATTCATTGGTATCATTTTCAAGTAACTAAAATAATCAACTTCATGATGATTCCAACAATTGATCAGCTTTAAGTAACTAAATCACGTTATTATTTAGCAATATTAAGTATTGTTAAGAGTTGTTGATTGTTTACCATTATTGTAATGATTATTTAATCACAACTCATTTATTTCAATTGATCGTTTAATTGGTTCAGATCAACTCAATATAATCATCATCCTGGTCCATTAATGATTTATCATTATCATAACAAAAGTAATCAAGTTTTGTAGTGAAAATTATGATTATAGCAAAACAATTAAGATCTTAAAACAATTTTCTGAATGCAAAGAAATTATCATGATACTGAATCTTAATCTCCATGGAAAAGGACTAATCAAACTAATCAAACTAATCAAATCTCAATGATTATCTGAACTTTTTTTTCTTAATCATCAAAATCTGAGAAAATTTTTAATCAAAATCAGCAACTTATTGACATTCATATTCAATCATTACAATGGTTGATATAATAGCTCAATAATATCATGATATTCATGGTAATCATGAGCATCAGAATATATAGATTTTCATAATAAATGTATTATCTTGTTTACTTAAGGTATTATTGTTACGATTACTTGATGATAATGATGATAATGATGATGATAACACTTTTTTTGTATGTAAACTAATGGCTGATGACTTTTACCGTTATATTATCAATGGGCGATAATGATTGGTGAAATTGTTACCATTTAATTTTATGTGATAAACTGTTCATGTTATTATTAAACAATTAACTTGATAAATTGTTTGATAATAACAGTAAACATTGGATAATAGTGACAACAGTTAACTAATCAACAATGAATCATGTTAATAATTTGATTACCATGATACTCTTGGCAATTGTTTATCAAGATAATCCTTTAGGAGTTTAATTATCTATATGATTAATTGATCTTCTCATTGATTAATAACCATGATAACAATAATGATGATGCTACAATTTGATTATTTAACGTTACAACTTTATCCATAATTATTGGATCAAAAATTGTCTTAATCTCTGAATCTTGAGGATTGAAAACTTTTCAGAACTCAGATGAAATTTTATCCATTTAAATAATAGTTAACCAATTTACTATTATTCAAATTGTTCTGAACTTTTAATTTCGTCTCTTTTTTTTGTTCATTACAAGTTGAATTATGAATTCGAAGGAAAAAATCTATTGTTATTTTAGTAATTTGTTTATACTTTGATCATATGGTTTAAGGTGAAAATATCACAATGAGATGATATTTGTTTCCCTGTTTATCTTGCATGGGGAAACAATTCCCAGTTCAATTGGAACTGTTGATAATAACAGAATTTTATAAATATCTATCTTCATATATTCTGAATTCTGGTTGTGTCTCTTTGTGATTACAGTTGAAACTTTTCTTCCTTCACGTCGACAATTTCAAGTAGACACATGAGTGTAAATGTAATAACAAGGAAAGAAAAAAGTTTTCTTTTCTGGGAAGAAAAAAAAAATCAAGGTGAAAATCAACTAACCTGATGAATTGTTTACTCCATCATCATCATCATGGTAAAATCAGGGAGGGAAAACATTGAATCTCATTTGAAATTACAGGAACCAAGAACAACATTAACAAGCATTATCAGCAACTGATGATGTTGAGGGAAAATAATAATAAAATGTTGTATTATATTTACAGTGTCACTAACATTCAATGAAACTAATAGCAAGGTAACAATGTGATAGAGAGACTATGACAAACCATTGACAGGGAAAAAAATATAACATAATCTTTGTGTTGTTTATAAACATTGAGGAGGAAAAGGGTTTGTCAAAGTAACGGTAAAAAAAAGACTTACTCTTAAAATGGGTTAGTTGATGTGAACGATAAAAGTTTCAGATAATGTTTTCTAATTGAAGTTCAGTTTAATAGGAAATTAGATTGTTAACAATTCGTATTATCATTATTATCTAAACTCATTTTCTTTCAGCTACTTTTTCATTTTCGTTCCTCCGATTATCATGTTCACATTTTCTCAGTCTCATTATCGTAATTATCATTAACCATTTACCGTTATGATTTTCGATTATCAGTTATCTGGAACTTGAATTTCCATGTTATCAATTTATACTCAGATTTGATTATCTTTTATGATATTATTTCAATTTTCTAATTTTTTTCCATCAATTTTTTTTTTCGTTTGTCTCATTAGATTTTCAACTTTTTCATCTCCGTTCTGGTTAATTGTTTTGCTGATGATTAATTGATCGACTAATTAACTTAAATCGAGAGATATTTATACATCATTATCAAGGATTATTATTTGTTAATGTTGTTGTTTATTTTGGATGGTTGGAAATGGATTTGATTTGGATTAGTATTGGAAATGAATTATTCAATTTAATTAATCACAGAATCAATTTTGTTATGGATACAAAGTTTTACCCTGATTATTTGATTGGATTAACGTTCTCATTGTTATCATAAAATCTTAATCGCAATTTTTCATCACCATCATCATTAAATATGAGATGCACAATTTGTTGATTTAAGGATTGGTGCAACATTATTAATGTAACATCAATCAAACAATTACTACAATTAAATTGTGATGATTTGATTGATGGCTGCTACACGAGATAAGCAACGAGAATCCGAATCAACAGAAAAACCATCAACTTCTTCAGGGGATATTCTAATTACTACAACCAAATCAACGATAGAATCACAATCAACAATCAAATCAATTAATTCTCAACGATCAGTTGACCAAAATGTAACTAGTAAAGATCATCATTCTCATCATGGATCGCCGGTTAAAAGTAATATAAAAAGTAATGGGAAAACAAAAGGAGGAAGAGGAAACTCCGGAAGTGGAAGTGGAGGTGGAGGTGGAGGTGGTGGAGGTGGAGGTCTAAGTGGTAGTGACAACGGTGGTATTGTTGGTGGTGGAGGTGGAAGTGGTTACAGTAGCGGTAGAGTTGATTTAGAAAATGTTGCTAGAGCAAATTCAGTAGATTCCAATGACATTTGTATTTCAAATGAACCTGGAAACGGAAATAATCGTAATCGAAGTGCCAGAAATAATAAACATAATAACTCTAATAATAATCAGCTAAATAATAATAGTAGTAATGCCAATATTGTCAATAAAAGTAATAATAATTATACTGATTGTAGTAATTTAAATAATATTAGTGGTGGAAATTATTGTCTTAATGATAATGTTACTTACGTTAATCAACATCCGATTGAAGATTTTAGGAAAAGACATCGGGAAGATGATTGTTTCTATGAGATTGATATTGATCCTTCCAGTTATTATTGTAATGTTGATATTGACCCTGGGTCATTACCAATCTATCAACCTGAACATGGGGTCAGTTATGTGCCAATTAATGAATCAAATAACAGTATTGATCCAAGTGTATTACAGTGTATGCATCGAGGATCAACTGTTATCCATTATGAGGAGGAAACGGGAAAATCGTGTTGTGTTTACCTTCAATTGGAAAAATCTAACGGCATTTTGGCCTGGTGTAAGCCGACATGGACCTCAAATTGTAATATTACACCGGCAAAGTTTTCTTCCTCTTCTTTAATTGGATCAACATCATTGACATCAAATTCTGGACCATCGTCATCTTTTTTATCATCAACATTGTCTTCATCCAATTCACATTCTCATCAGCATCAATCCAATAATCCAAGTGATACCGATTCGACCTGTGATATTATGGTTGTGCCCAGTATTTTTGTTAAATTTGAATCAAAAGAACCAGCAATTAATGGCCTTGAAGAGGGTTACCTTGACCTTTTGTTTGCTAAAAAATTATTCACCGGACAATCAGCGATTGACCAATCATCTGTTTGCCGTCGATTTGGCCTTAAACCTTCACTTTTAGATGGTAATTGTTTTTTCAGTCTACTTTATGGAGCCAATATATCGGACAATCGTTTTATACAATTTATTATGCCCAAAATGGTGGCCTCTCTTTGGTCGGAAGGCCTTCGCTCATTAATTGACCAACTTGAAATTCAACGTAATCTTGCCGATCAGCGATGTACCTGGTTAAAGGGTAAATATTTGAATCTATTTTACTCTGGTGGTTCTTGTTTGGGTCCAACACCAGCGGAAGCGATCAAAACATTCGGAGGTCGTAAATGGGCTCTAGAGACTGTCAGTGGCTCTTCAACCGGTGGGTCAACAAGTGAACCAGGTCAAAGTAAAAGATCAACGGCTTTTGGAATCGCCTCATCCAAATTGAGGAAAAAGAAAACTGGTTCATCTTCACCAAGCCTTTCGTCAATGGTTCGTAATGCAAGTTTAAGGTCACAATCGTCGGTCACTTCGGATGGTTCAGGTAGTTTTGTAAGTGGTACAAGTGGATCACCAGGTACATCGAGCGGTAAAACTAAAATTGAGGGTAAAAGTGTTTTTCCACGAACAAATAAACTGGTTAAGGTTCTTACTAGAAGTAAATCAAAATTAGAGGAGACAATTAAAACACCAATTAAGACAATTAAGACTCGTAGTTCCATCTGTGAGACTGGTTATATATCACCATTGTCAACAATAAAGGGAACAATTTATAAATCAAGTTTAGACTCAGCAAGGAAACAATCAACTGATTTATCATCTAAGTGTAGCAATTTAAGTAAATTTGGTGGATCTGAAGGTGGCCTTAGTCCAACGGGAAGTGTTAAATCATCATGTTCGTGTGAAAATTTGAAAGCATCACTCGAATCTCCTTTAATAGGTCATTCATCGCTCTCTTCATCACCATCACCCTCAATAACCACACCAACACCACCAACAACAACAACAACAACATCAACTGGGCCATCATCATATCAGAAAAGAATACGAAAACTATTAACTCGAGATAAATCAGTAAATTCTGATCATGGATCATCACGATTGGTCTGTTATGAGAATGGATCGTTACGATCGGAAGAAGACAGTGTTACCGGTGATTTCGGCCTCACAACCACGACGACGACGATGTCAACTCCTTTCAATTGTTCCACGACTTCAACCGTTAACAATTCATCAACCATTCCAATTCCTAATTGTTCACCACCTTCATCATCATCATCCACATCCACCATTAAATGTAAACCCTCCATTACTCATTCCTCGAAGATGAACTTCATTGAATTTATGCAACTTTATCGAGCCTTCTTGATACGATCGAGAAAGGATATAAAGGACATTTTTGAAGATTTAGCCTCGAAAACGGATATTCATTCAGCCGTCGAAGAATCTGAAGATCCGATAAACTATGAGAAACAAGGGGACGGACCTGGACAAAGGATAATCGGCTTATTGACTCGTAATTTTATGACTTTGGACATTGATACCGAGGAAACTGTTCAACGGAATAAGATTTACGATGCCATCGCTTCCGCTTCAATTGTCGCCAATTGTGCTGGTGTTGATACCATGCGAACTCTGCTGATGACCATTGAAGATTTTCAAAGTTTCCTGAGAACATATCAAAATGAAAATCGTCCTTTGATGAGGTGAAACGTTTAATTGCCCGTCACGAGCCTGATCCAAGTTTACGGGCTAAAAATTGTCTCTCCTTTGAAGGTTTTGCTTGTTATCTTATGGATAAAATTAATTATGCCTTTACACCAGAATTAGCTAATCATGATCCCGATGAGATGGATGAACCTTTGTCCCATTATTATATCGCTACCTCGCATAACACATACCTGACTGGTCATCAATTGAAAGGCGAATCGTCGGTTGACCTTTACTCTCAAGTTTTACTAACTGGTTGTCGGTGTGTTGAATTGGACTGTTATGATGGCGAAAACGGTTCACCGGTCATTTACCATGGACACACTTTAACATCTAAGATTCCATTTAGAAAAGTGGTCGAAGCCATCAACGAATCTGCCTTTGTAACTTCATCGTTTCCTGTGATACTTTCCCTTGAGAATCATTGTTCGCTACCTCAACAGGTAATAATGGCGGCCACTTTTGTCGAAGTGTTTGGTGATAAATTGATTACTCATTTTCTCTTTGATTCGGATTTTTCTGAAGAACCTCATCTACCTTCACCGAATCAACTTCGAGGTCGAATATTGATCAAAAATAAAAAGATCAAAAATTCAACAACTTCGATACCAGTCTCAGTTCTGCCGACCAGTGTAAAGAGTAAACCCTTTTCTAAGTCCAAGTTTATGTTTCGTACAAATAGCCTTATATCGACCGCATCAACGGGATCGCTTAATGAAGATGAAGATGATTACGATGATGAAGATGAAGATGATGATGCAAGTGGAGGTGGCGGAGGAGGAGGAGGAGGAAGCAGCTCAGGTCCACCAGCTTCTAGTGCTGGTACCGTTGTGAATCCTACGGAAAGTGCGGCTGGATTGGGATTTGCTGCGTCTCCTAAAGGGGTTGCCCTACGAACGGAAAGTTCATCTTCCCAAGAGGGAACTGGATCATCTAATGAAGCGAAAATTGCCGCTCGAAGTCACATTTCTAATCGTTATGTTGAACCAAGTGACCATCTTAGTGATAGTTTAAATAGTCCAATGACATCTTCCATTGTCCAAGGATCGACTGACCCTCCGATTGGGCCCAATAAAGTTTCATCTACTTCTACAACCTCAACAAGTCACAAAGTTGTCCGTAAATCTGATAGTCAGGTTGCCCCTGAATTGTCAGATCTTGTTATCTACTGTCAGGCCATTAAGTTCAGAGGATTTTCAACTGATACGGGTAATTCAAGTCCGACCTCAACAGTGAAAGAGGTCACAAGTAAGAAAGGAACCAGTAAAAAGACCAACATCCTGTCAACTGGAATATCTTCCGGTTTCTCAGGGTCACCTTCAGCTTCCCTAATCGCTTCACCCTCGATATTGACCAGTGGACCAACACCGACTGATCGTGAATCATCAACCTATTCAGTTAATCTTCCCTTATCGACAACTTCACCCTCCCTATCAGCCACATCTCCAGTCAATCAGGCAACAACAAGTACAAGTAGTAACGCTCTTACCGCATCAGCGACACCGCCAACAGCAACCACAGTATCTTCTGGGCCCTCGTCCGGCTTGGGGTCAACTCCAATGTCCACAACGATAGGTACAGGATCCATTTCAAGCAATACAATATGTTCAACTTCATTAGTATCAAGTGTACCCGTTTCAGGCTACAGTACGTACAGGCAGCCTTATCCGTCGAGGTCATGTTATCAGGTTGCTTCACTGAATGAACATACAGCTAAAAAGCTGTGCCGAAAACACCCGTTAACGCTAATTCATCACACTGAGTACCAATTAATGCGTAGCTATCCCGCTGGCATGAGAATCGATTCATCCAATTTTAATCCCGTCATTTTTTGGGCTTTTGGCATTCAAATGGTTGCCCTTAACTACCAGACCGAAGACACCGCTTTAGCAATTTACAAAGCGATGTTTGAACAAAATGGTCGAACTGGTTTCGTTCTTAAACCGTCCGTCATGAGAGATCGTAATCATATGGCCTTTGACCGATTCAACCCTTGGGAGAAGGAGTTTGACGGTCTTTATGCTATCGATTTAACTATTCAGGTAATTAAGTTCTAATCGAATCATAAGTCTGAACTTTTCGATTTTTTTCTTTTCGTTTTCTCATTCTTTTTTTCCTTTTTCTTTCGATTTGATTGTTCAGATAATCTCTGGTCAATATGTTTGCCCTGATGTGAATAACGGAAGTCCACAAGTGGAAGTTGAGATCATTGGACTACCGGTCGATTGTGCCAAACAACGAACCAAATTGGTTCAACGAAATTCATTAAATCCTATTTGGAACAATACTTTTGTATTTAGAGTGAGTTCGTTTGTAAGAATTTCCGTTTCTGTCTCTGATTACTGATTTTTCAATTTTCTTTTCGTTGATTTCGTAGATTGTATTTACTGATCTTGCATTTATACGTTTCGCTGTAATCGACATTGGCACTAATCACCTTGTATCTCATCGAGTTGTTCCCGTTAAATCTTTGAAACCTGGTTACCGACATTTACGACTTCAAGGTCCTCAAAATCAGCAGCTTCCACTTTCAACATTATTCATAAACTCATCATCTCAAGAAGAAGGTGTGGAAATTGGTGCAACCACAACAACGGCCTTTAATATCGGTGATCTTGATGCCCCTCGAACTCCATGTAAGACTGGAAAGTCATCTAATTCAGGAATGGCGGTGAAAACTTCAGGAATCGGTAATTCTGGAGTTGGTGGTGCTCAAGATGGATGTGATCGGATCGATGCAAATTTAGGGTGTGAAACACCAACTCTGGGATTGACCTCGATGCCTGTTCGTCGACGAATGTTTTTCCTCGTTGTTCATGGAGTTATGGCTGAAGAGCCTTCGACTATACTGAAAATAACCCAGGAATCAACGACGAGTGAGGTGATTGCTCAGGCTTTGACTAAAGCAAACAAATCAAACGAAGCCGTTTCCGATTATGTTCTGATCGAAGAAGTCGCTAAAGGCTGGGATAAGAAAGGTCCTTTTCTTGATCGTTCTTCGGCGACCAATCAACGTATTCTAGACCCTTCAGAGAGACCACTGGAAGCGCAGTCACATTGGAATGGACGAGGAAGATTTGTAATCAAAAAGATCGCTAATGATCCAAGTTCGAGAGCTTGGTTCAATACGATAAAGGCTCAAATGGAGCGACTTCGTCGTCAAGATTCAGAGGAACTCAGTGGATCCTGGGGAGAGGAGATGGACTATTTTCTCGTGTGCGTCTACAATGTATCAGAAGATCAGCCGTACGCGATTCTGAGAGCACCGATTTCGGGAACAGCTCAAGATGTCATCAGTCAAGCTTTGGTTAAAGCTCGAAGGAAAGAAAATACTCGAAATTTCATCTTAGTCGAAGAGATCGAAGTCGAAAGTGAAACAGCCCAAACAGGTGGACGCAATAAGTCAAAAGACACTTCGATTACCGTTTTCCGTCGGGTCTTACAAGACAACGAGAATGTCTATCGAGCCCAAGCAGCTTGGAAGGGTAAAGGTCTTTTCCGCTTAGCGAAAGCCGATGAAATAAATTCAATCTCTTCCTCGTCGGTAAAAAGTGATGCAAAGTCCAGTCCAGATTTAAGTATAAAATCATCGAGAGCATTTAACCGACTGAAAAGAGCGGCAACTGGGTCACTGCGAAAACTTAATAGACTTTCTCGAGTATCCAGAGAATCTTCAATTCCAGAACCTGAAAGCGGAACCATTGGACTAAATGTCGGAATCAGTGGCAGCATCGGTAGTGTTGTCGGTAGCGTTGGCAGTGATCTGATTAAAGAAAGTGACCTTGACTTGACCCCCTCCAGCCGTGAGGAATCCTTGAATCTCGTCATTCCGATTACATGAATCCCTCCGTTATTTTACCAACAATCAGCCAACCAGTTTCAACTGTAATCCATTCAAATGAACAACAATCAATTCTAATCAATAATTCTGGCAATAAATCCCCAATTCCAAATGAAACAACAACTCGAAATGATCAAAATATGAAACGACCTTCACTTCCCATGGAAAACAAATCAATCCGTTATCGTCATGGGTCTGAACCTGTGACTGAAGATTTCACCGATTTCACCACAATCGATGACAATGATCATCATCATTCCAGTGGCTTAACATTTAATCGTTTATCTCGTTTATCATGGAAATGGTTGAAAACATGGAGAGCATCAAGAGATAATTAAGTTAATTGCCATCACCAATTAATCAAATTCGAAACATTTTTTTTATTATTAATATAAAACGAAAACAAAATCTAAATCTTATGATACAAAATTCACAATAACATTTATATTCAATTGGATTGATTGATTATATTTCCAAAATTTTCCCGATAATCAGCTGATTGGAATCGTTTTTTTTCACTTATACATCAACACACATCAGAGCTTGTTAATCTAATTGCACGGAAGTTAATTGCAATTTATTTTGTCCAAAATTAATCAACCGACATGTATTAACATTTACTTGAATATGTCAACAATTAACCAATGGAAACAATTAATTTAACTTTCTGTCATTATTGAATCTCTCATCTATTATGTATTTAAATTGATCGCTAATTATAATCATTATCATTGTTATTATTATCAAGTTTTACATGTGTTAAATCACAATTAACAAGGATAAGAGAGTTAATTGTATCAATAATATGAGCAATTAAACTTTTCGCAAATTAAATTGCCAACCAATAAATGGATGAAAATAAAAGTAAATTCAAAGTGAATCAAATGATTATTGTTATTAAATCATTTCTCTCAATCCAATCAATCAATCAATCAATCAATCGACTCTCAATTGGTGTTTTCTTGCAATGAAGTTTCTTTATTAAAGGTTAAATATTAGATCAGAATTAAGTATAACAATTTAAGTGATCAATTAACAATAACAATTAGAGTTAATTTACTTTTGGACACAATTTTGTTTGGTTGACGAAAGGAGGAAACTTGGGATTCCAAGACTGTTGAGTTTGGATTCGAGTCGATCAAGAGTTTCCTTTTCCAATGTTGGTTTTCGGGATAAAATCCAAGCATCCTCTGTAATTAGTAGAGTGATTAGTTAATTGTTACAAGATTAATGGGCTAATTGAGAAGCTTGATACTTACTGATATTGAACAATCCTTGGATATCGTTACATGAGACAACCAATGAATAGTTTTTGTAGTCGGTGTCAACTACCCAGTATTGGGCTGATGGTGATACTGAAAGTAGATTTGATTAGTTAGTTGATGATGAAACAATTTACCTCGAAAATAATGTTATTAGTTAATTGTTACACTTACATGAGAAGAAAGTGACTCCGAAAACGTTTGATTGTGAAGCGGGTTTGGCAGTACCAAGACTGAAGATCTCGAAATCGACCAAATTAACTCCACTGTTGTTAACGGCGACATTACCATTTGAGTCTAATTTGTAATTAGCTTTGACACATCGTTGACCGAACTCGAAGAGTAGACCAGTTCTCTTGATTTCGAACCAGTCACCAAGGTACTAAAAGAGGACGAAAGTAAATTCGAATTGATTTAAACTGTTCAAATAGTTTTTCTCAAGTTTTTTTTCGTCTTAAATACTTACAGCATTGACATCGAATGGAGCTTCGAGTTCAGTGGTTTGTGGACATCTTCCGAGCCAGAAACTTGAGCCGACCTTTGGTACTTTATCGAGAAGGGCTTTAGGTAAGTCGAAAAGGTTTGGAAGGCTGAGGCACCCATGGAAGAGGCGACGACAATTAAGCAAACGAAAACTAATTGATTCATTGTTGTTGATTGGAGTTGATTAGTTTACGATGAAACTGAAACAATTGTTAGAATTGATTGTTTTCTTGTTGAATTGAAACTCAAACTGATGATTTATTTAAACTTAATCGTTTCCCTTTTATACTAGAAAATAAATTGTTTATTTTTCTCACTCACCAAAGTCCGATGCTCACCATCAGTTTAATCAACTGGATTTGATTGTTTGATTAACTGGAAATCGTTCACAATTATGTTAAAAGTTAATAGGATTGTCTTTAAAGAGTGAAATCTAATCGCAAGGGTTAATCAACGGAATCCAAGTCCAAGTTATGGTACAATCAATTGTTTTCCTAATTAGCCAATCAATAGATTCTTGCTAATCAAAGTTAAATCTAACAATTAACTCAATCACAATTGATTGGAGATGCGGTAATCAAAAATCTCGCAGATTTTAATCGAGTACAATAAGACTTGAATGATATTCAGATCGATGTCATCATCATGCGACAATTTGATGAGAGAAGAAATTTAATTGTGATCAAGGTTAATAATCGTGATTGTGTTGACAATTAGTATTTTGATTAGTTTTAATCTACAGGCCCTCATTAATTAATTGCTTCAAATCCAATGATCAAACCTAATTTAACAAGATGGACATTGAATGACCATGATCATAATTGAGCGAAATGTTGAAATTAGTTAATTCCAATTAGTGATTCAATTTGATATTTCGTTAATTGTAATTGCTGTAATTTAGAATAATAGTTTTTGTTAAACATTAAACTTTACTATTGAAATAAATTGTAATTAATCAAATTTTATTACAATTTTAATCGTTCATCATCATGAATTGTGGTTCTTAAGTACTAGAATCCTGATCATTATCAAGTAAAAATAAATTCCAGTGATTAACTGATCACAATTAAATCACACAAAATGGTTTGGTGCTCATAACCCAAGCTAATCAAATTATCCTTGGGTGTAATTTTGGTTTAAATTGGTTAGATAACTGATTAATTGTCTCTGTATTAATTAATAACCGATCAAAGATTTGATTGATCAACTAATCATAATTCATTTTCAGCTACAATCTAATACTAATTAACTTCATTTGATTTCTAATTGTTCATTTCTACTATTGTTAAATAATCACAAGATAATTATCACATTGATAAAAAGTTAATTGTTCAGCTACTTGAAGAAATCAAATATCACAATTAAGTAATGATTGAATTTATTGAATTATTAAATACCTTTGGTTAATTATTGATTTTCAAATAATCAAAAATTGAATTAAATTGAAATTTCCAAGAAAAATTTGATTAAAATTGATTCTGATATTATATCAATGAACGTAAACTATTAATAAATGGTAAATTTTAATCAAGTCAACTGATTTAGTTTAACAATTAAATGTCAAGGTATTTCCTTTTATGTAACAATCAAAGATTGTTAATTAATCTAAACATTGTAATTATTAATACATAGACTGATAATTGACACACACACAATTTAATTGTTACAAATCAAAGTGCATTAAATATTTAAATTGTAAAGATAATGAAAAGATATATAAATCGTAATGATTTCCCCTTACACTTATTTCAATTGTTTCAATTGGCAACAATTAATTGAATAATCACCAAGTGAATTAACAATTTCTTACAACCATGAAAACTTTATTCTTAATTCAATTTGTTTCATTAATTTATCTCGCTAATTGTTGGCCTTTCCCAATCGATCTAATCTTCGAGTTAGCTAAAATTACAAAACTCGAGTTCGATACCTTGAAAGATATCGTGACCGCCGCTGACCACGTCCCTCAAGCCTTGACCGGATTCAGTTTGGTTCCATGTCCAGCTCAATCAGAACCACCAAGTGATTTTACCTGGGAAGATGTAAGTAAACAATTAACCGAATCATCTGATCATCACCATAATCGCTAATTGTTAATCAATCAGTTTAAAGGTACTTGGCATGAGATTGAACGAACGGCCATGTTTGAAATCCTCGAAACTGGACAGAAATGTACTCAGTTCAGTTTCACCAAAGAATCCGATGAGTTTAAAATTAACACAACCGTTTTCTCAGAAATTTTGTAAGTAACAATTAACTTTTTTTTCTTAATTTAATTGTTCTAATCAATTTGAATCAATGTTACAGAAACAAGCAACTCTCTGCAAGCAAAACAATCAATGTTAAAGATCAAAAAAATGTCTTTGGAGTTAAAATTAATCCAAGTAAGTTTTGTCATCTCATCTGATTGTTTAGTCAAATTTCATCGCTAATTGTTACAATTAATTGTCTCTTACAGTTAAAGAATCACAATACTGGATTGTAGATACTGATTTAGATTCGTATGCTTTGATTTTCTCATGTGAGCAAATCCTTCAAGCTTCATTACGTAAGTTGATTAGTTTGTTGATTTGTTTACATTGTTCAGCTGATTAATTGTTCCCTTAATTGTTCACATAGGTAATGCTTGGATTCTTGGACGGAAACCAACTCTTCATGAATCAATTCGTGATCTTTTAGTCAAAAAATTAGGATCATTGGGAATTCCTGAAAGTAGTTTAATTAAATCTGATCAATCATGTTCAACCTTCATTCCCTTTAATGATTAACTAATCATACTGGGGAACTGATTAATAAACTGTTTTGTTATTTTGCATAAAATTAACTTTACACCATAATTAAAAATTAAACAATAAGGTGGAGGAACGAATCTACTTAATCAGAACAATTAAATTGGAAAAAATTTACTGATTCGGTGAAAGAAAAACATTAAAACTTAATCAACATCAAGATTACAAAGGTTACAATTTAATTCAGCCACTAGAAATTTTTTTAATTCTATCTAATCGAGAATATTTAACTAATCAAATTGTTTAATTATCGGCAAATTATTCCGAAATTTTAATCGTTACAAAATAAAAGTTTGAAAACCAATTAGGACGAATAGTCTTTTTCTCTTCCGATAGATGTCACTAGTTTTTGGAGAACAAAAAGTTCGAATTTAAATTTTGTTCTTTTCTTTTTTCATTTTGACTCATTAGTTGAATCTTTTCATTTGGTTTAAGATTTTGTTTCATTTGTTTTGGTGATTATTTTTTTTGATTCTTCAATTTAATTGCTTCAATTGATCTTCGTTCGTTAGTGCAAAGGAAATATGGAACTTTCAGTTGAAGAATATGCTATAGTGAAAAGAAAACACGATCAGATGAAAAAAAGACTTGAGATGTTTCGTTCGCAGGTTGAATTCCTTTGGAATAATTACACTGAAAAGGAGAAAATTCTTCGCACTATTTCGGAAAGTTTGGCTATACTTGATGAACAGAAGAAAAATCCAAGTGACCTGGTTAAACAGAATATCGCCAAAGTCATCAAGAAATATGACCAAGAAATTACGCCAAAATTAGATGATATAACTGCGTCTACAAAGAACCATATCCATCAATCTTTAGATGAATTGTAAGTCTCATTTCTAATCTTATTCTTTGATTAATCTATCCAACTGATTAACGCTATTGTCGTGATCTATTCTCTTATTTAGAAACAACATATTAAATACTTTCAATTTCATCGCTGCTTATGTGGTCACTTGTGATACCAAAGTAAGTAACTCTTGCTCTTATTCAATAGATACACAATCCATTTTGTTATTAATCATCGTTTACATTATTGTTTTATTTCATTTCTTTTAGCATGATAATAAGACAGAGGTTAGAGAGTAATTGGTTACAGAATTACCGAGATCAATGAGATGTGAGTTCTCCAGGAATACGGAGCTCAAAGAAAAGGAAATAATCAGTCGAAAATCATAATACTTTTTTTGTAAAACGTTATTTTGTTAAAAGAGATGTAATTCTGTTACCCTTCGGACCAATAATCTCTTTCAAGAATCAACATTAAATTTGTTTCATTGAGAAAATTGTATTCTTACGATTCTTATGGGCTCAACTTTTCGCTGATATCGGAAGGTAAAGCTTAAACTCGGGTGGAAGCTCATCTTCCGAATACAATCGATCAGAGAAATAGATTCTTCTTAATCTACAATTGGCATTGATTGTGATTCGAACCGTTTCAACATAATTGGTTCCATATGCTCGTTTAGTGAAATCAGTCAAATTAAATCCAATTTGGTTCCATCCTTCATCCAATCTTAAAGGCATCGTACAGATAAAATCGCGAACTCGCGTAACCGTCTGGAAGTTGGAGGCACGAAAACGACGTTTAACTTGTTTATCGTCCATTATCTCGACCTCGAAGGAGAAAAATTTCTTCATATTCTTGACAATAATCACAAGATATGGAAGTTTAATTCCAAGAGATAAACGAGGTGTCGATGGACAAGTGATTAGAGTGGTCGAAATATTACTACCAGTAACTTCGATTACACTTGATTGAATATCATTATCCATGATTCTCTTGATTGTTCCATTTTTAACTTTCTTATCCCAAATCTGAAGAGGATTTGATCCAACCGAATATAAAATTGACAGAAATCCACTTTGAAATGTATTTCTAAACATTTTTCTCCAATCAACCAGAGACAATCCGATCCATCAGCTTCAACCAAACCCAAGCGAAGATAAAAGAGTTTATATGCTTACTGTCCGTTAGAAACATAATTAAGAAAAAAAGAAAAACAATTAGAAGAACAACAATTAGAGACAATTAATTTTTGTTGAATGTTTTACCTTTTAAAATTTTCTTCTGGTTTGTTTTGTTTTCCCTTCAATCAAATCTCCATGGAAACGATTGTCTGAGTTTCAAAACTCGAGCGACATCTGGGGGAACTTTTGTTTCTCCATTTGATTGGATTGGCGGTAAAATTGATGACATTTCTTTTGGTAAAACTTCGGTAATTCAATTGATTACCAAGCTAATTGTTTCAGTGTCCTAGCATTTAAAAGTACAATCAAATATTACTTGGATATTGGATAAAATTGCAAGCCTCTGATTAAGTGAAACTAATTCTAATGGGATTGCGATGAAATTGTTGAAAAAACTAATTTAGAAAGGTAAATACTAAGTTAATCAATTTAATGCTAAAAACTAAATTGCGGACTTGAATTGAGATTCTAATTAAAATTTTACTTTTGAATGTTTATTTTATATAAATTAGATAAATGAACAAATAAGTTAGTCTGAGTTGATTAAAAGTTGTTAGTTTTTCCATCCGTTATTGTGACCATGACCATAACCATGACCATAGCCATGACCGTAACCGTTATCATGACCATGTGAATTCCATCCAGTGCTTTTGTCTCGTGAATCGTAAAGTTCAGTCCATCCCTTGTCGTGTTTTCCCCAACCACCATGGTGGACCTGAGATGTTTAATATTCATAGATACAAACAATTAGAATTAAACTATTGACATGATCAACTAATCACAAGAACTTACATCAACTTTATATCCAACTTTTCCGTGTTGATGATGACCACCCCAGTGATTGTCCTTCTTCCATGGGTCAGCCATAGCGGCAGAAACAGCGAGGACAACGAAAAGAGCGACAATCTAACAGAGTAAAAAGGAGAGAAAAAAATTAAATCAAATTAGAAAATTTTATAAATCTATCAACAAGGTATTCGTTTAGGCGAAATAGGAATAAATCCACAATTCGATTCGTTGATTTAACTCACAGCGAAAACTTTCATTATTAGTTGTTGATTGTTTGTTGATTCACAAATAAAGAATTGATTTGATTGTTGTTTGTTGGTTGACTGTTAACTCAAACTGATACTTTCAACTTTTCAAACACTTCGGTTATATACAAAAAACTACACTTGAGGCAGAGGCTGAAATTTCAACGAAATCATAACTTCAACTGTAAAACTACACCTTCATATTGTACCACCTTCGATGCTTAGAAAACTCCTACATTTCTATTCAAGATAATCACTGGAATCAGTAAAATATTAATTAAGTCCTTCCGATAATTTCGTCGAGTTATCAGTGTAACAATTTGAGAAAATCATGATTCAACTCTAAATAGTTCAAGAGAAAATTCAATTTAAACTTTGATCTATTTTTACTATCCATAAGTTATTATGTCAGTTCCACAATCAGTTCGACACATCGCAAAGTTCATGAAAATTAGTTATCATTGTGGTTCATTGATACTACCTAATGATAAGGTTACATTTCCGCGTAAATTGAGTGACAGACTAAAAATATATTCTAATATCGAGTGACTGGTAATGAGTGAGCATCACAATTATGATCTAAATATCGTTACATTGATAATCTTCTTGTTTTCTGAGATAACGTTTGGCAAGAATTTGTATTCAATGTTCAATTCTCCTCGTGTGTTCGAATTATGGAAGTTTCTCTCCATCAGTTGTTCTCTCTTTAGTTTTTTATTCATTGAAAATCTTCTTATTATATCGGGTGACCGAAAATGATTGAGTATCTCACGAACCCTAAGTTTTAGACTCACATTTCTTTACATTTTGAGAAAGTAAATTTCACGGTGAGTCAAAAAATGGCCCGTTTTTTTCTAGGACGTACGGTTCTCGAGAAATCGTGATTTTGACCTTTAAATACAAACCACAGTCGCATTTTTTTGCTCCGAAAATTCTGAAAAAGTTCATCATTTATATTTGATCAATGACGTTTGAAACTTTATTCTAGGACCTACCATTCTTGAGATGCTCACTTATTTTTGTTCACCAGTTAATTCGGATATTGAAGAGTTTCAATTGAATTCCAACAGTAGGAATAGTTATTTCTTGTAGTTAAAGCTCAAGCAAAGATGATCTCCAATTTAAATCTATCCAATCTAAAAGACATCGCATAGATAAAATCACGAATTCAAGTCCGAGGCACGAAAACAACGTTATGATAAGCGAGCTGTCGATGGACAAGAGATCAAATGGCTTATTCTGATTATTTTGTCTCACTTTAATTGATAATCTAAGTAAACATCTTAATAAGGTAGAAAATATTTATGAATTTAAACAGAAACAATTTGGTATTTAGAAAATGAATGCCGAAATTATTTTGACTGGAAAACATATCGAAATTTAGATTTTTGGGAAAGTTTTGAGAATTAATTTCATTGGGAAGCAATTTATTCACAAAAATCTAGTCGGTTTTTCGTAATTTACATTTTTAATTCATAATAAAATATAAATAGGGGGACTGGACAGAATAAGTTAACCAGAATGATTTAAAAGTTATTAGTTTTTCCATCCGTTATTGTGACCATGACCATAACCATGACCGTAACCGTTATCATGACCATGTGATTTCCATCCAGTGCTTTTGTCTCGTGAATCGTAAAGTTCAGTCCATCCCTTGTCGTGTTTTCCCCAACCCCCATGGTGGACCTAAGATGTTAAATATTCATACATACAAACAATTAGAATTGAACTATTGACATGATCAACTAATCCCAAGAACTTACATCAACTTTATATCCAACTTTTCCGTGTTGATGATGAAGATTGCTATGACCTCCACCCCAATGATTGTCCTTCTTCCATGGGTCAGCCATAGCGGCAGAAACAGCGAGGATAACGAAAAGAGCGACAATCTAACAGAATCACAGAGAGAGAGAGAGAGAGAAAGAGTGATATTAGATCATTTAAATAATAACAATATCCAAAAGTGTTTGTTATCCAAATCGATTGATTGATTAAATGAACTCACAGCGAAAACTTTCATTTTGATTATTAGTTGTTGATTGTTTGTTGATTCACAAATAAAGAATTGATTTGATTGTTGTTTGTTGGTTGACTGTTAACTCGAACTGATACTTTCAACTTTTCAAACACTTCGGTTATATACAAAAAAGGTAAGGCGCTTAAGGTGGAGACTGAGATTTAGTGTAAATATCTCCGTTTCGTTTATCTATTTATAAAGAGGCCAGAGTTCCAGTGAAGAGTGGGAGTTTAATTGTAAGAATTCGTATCACCTCTTCGGTCCAGAAAACTCCTCTAATCTTACATAAAGTAGGAGTAGTTATCCAAAAATACTAAAAGTCAAGACGATTACTTTTCCTATAAATTTATGCAAATTTTGTCTGACAAACTTTGGCTATCACATGCAAATCTTTTCGTATTAGGTAAACAACTAAGTTTTCGAGCTTTAGTTTCTTTTTATTATTCAAATACTGTTGATTCTCAGAATATTAGAGTTCAGATCAACAATTTGAACATGATAAATACTCATTTATGCTGATTAGTTTAATTTTAATTAAATTTCGTTAATTTTCTTGACAAGTAATAGAATTTCTGTTTATGGCCTTTATATTTAACAGCCCGTTTTTGCCTGAACTTATGAAAATAAGTGCGAAATGATTGATAATCCAAACTATCGGATGAATTTGAACAATTCAAGTTCAAATTTAATTATGATTCACGCTGAAACATTAAACTAATAGCACTTAATGAAAATTGATTCTTTATGAATGTGGAATGAGAATTTCAATGACAAACAGGAACTTCTGAACGACAATAACGATCAATGGATTAATTTGCCAGAGCAAAAATAATATTCATTTTTCTTGAAATTGATAAATTTTGCTGTGAAAAGTTTTTTGAAATAGTTTTTTATAATTCTTTTTGCGAGATGATCAGTTTATTAGCAGTAATCGAGCTGAAACTTGACATTTTTTTAAATTAAATATTGATTTTTTGATTATTTTATACATAAATTAGCTGAGTAATTTGAATAAGTTAATCCGATTGAGTTAAAAGTTATTAGTTTTTCCATCCGTTATTGTGACCATGACCATGACCGTAGCCGTTATCGTGACCATGTGAGTTCCATCCAGTGCTTTTGTCTCGAGAATCGTAAAGTTCAGTCCATCCCTTGTCGTGTTTTCCCCAACCACCATGGTGGACCTGAGATGTTAAATATTCATAGATACAAACAATTAGAATTGAACTATTGACATGGTCAACAAATGACAAGAACTTACATCAACTTTGTATCCAACTTTTCCGTGTTGATGATGAAGATTGCTATGACCTCCGCCCCAGTGATTGTCCTTCTTCCATGGGTCAGCCATGGCAGCGGAAACAGCAAGGATAGCGAAAAGAGCGACAATCTTAAAGAATCAAAGTGAAAGAAAAAAACAATATTAAATCACAGAAATTATATAAATCTATCAACAACATATTCGTTTAGGTGATTCAACTCACAGCGAAAACTTTCATTTTGATTATTAAATGTTGATTGTTCGTTGATTCACAAATAAAGAATTGATTTGATTGTTGCTGGTTGACTGTTAACTCGAACTGATACTTTCAACTTTTCAAACACCTCGATTATAAACACAAAATTCTTAAGGAGGAGGCCAAAATTTATTATTTATCCCTCCTCCTTCGCTTATCTATTATTAAGATAATCAGTTGATAATTTACTACAACCTCTTTAAGTAATTTTCTGAGCTAGCTCAGACTCTTAGCATAGAAAAAGTTGGTAGTGTTTATGCGGAAATTTTCATTGTTAATAAGTAGTACCAAAGTTAATAATGACTGATAGAAACAAAATCAGTTCCAAGCCGTGGGAATTTGATGAATGATAGAATTACACTGTATTGTAAACGAATGAGTTTGTGTTCGTTGTTTCCATCTAATGATTTTTGTGAATTGGAATTCATCGTTTCCTAAAATAACAACGAACCAAGAGATGAGACATGGGAGCTGAGGGAAAAAAGAAGAAGCGATAAAAGTAATCAAAAAATTTCTCTCCTCTGAGGTCAAATACATAAAAATAATACGAACTTAAAACCATTGGTCAAGAGTCTTTTCGAAATATTTTCACGCCGGTTTGTCTGAAATTCAACGCGTAAAAACTAATACAAAACAAGAGAAAAGAAATTCAGTTAATCATATTCGTGTTGAAGTTTATCATGAGAATGAGAAAATGATTGCTAGGTTAGGAATGGAAGCCGATTAATAATCACTGATTATATCGAACATCACTTGCAACTGATTGGGATGTAGTCTCTTGATCTTCTTTTTCTGCTTCTGAAGTCGATTCAGTGCCATGTAATTAATGAAATTAAGCTTTTCGTTGTAGTGGAATTTTAATATTTCTTTTCAACCAGTTTTTCTTTCTCAATTTTGACTCATTTTAGGTTAATTTTAAGACAAAACAGATAATCAATTCAACGAATTTATCAATTATGAATAGTTATTGAGACAGATCATATCTTATCGAGATGTTATTTTGGCTCGTGTCTATTTGCCATTTTGTTCATTTTTTCTTTTGAATTCTGCTTAACCTTTTTTGCTCTTTAAAGATAAAATCGTACGGAAGTTGGGTGAAAAAGACTTGTTTATCGTCCATTATCTCGACCTCGAAGGAGAAATATTTCTTCATATTCTTTACAATAACTACAAGATATGGAAGTTTAATTCCAAGAGATAAACGAGGTGTCGATGGACAAGAGATCAAATCGCTCATCCTGATAATTTGTTTCATTCTTCTTAAAAGTCAAGAGCAGCATCTTAATCAGGTAACAACTAAGAAAATAAACGAAATAGTCTCGATAGCTAAGAATAATCAATTTTAAGAAATTGAACAATAAATGTTAAGAAATCTTTTAAGTATCTAATGACTTTTTAGCATTACTTTGCCAGTATTTGGAAAACTTTGAGAGATTTGATTTAGTTGATGATAAATTTATTCACAAGAATCAGTTTATAAACTTGACATTTCTTTACAAGTTGGCTTTATGATGGAGTATAAATTAAGTATAAATATAATAAGTTAATCCGATTGAGTTAAAAGTTGTTAGTTTTTCCATCCGTTATTGTGACCATGACCATAACCATGACCGTAGCCGTTATCATGACCATGTGACTTCCATCCAGTGCTTTTGTCTCGAGAATCGTAAAGTTCAGTCCATCCCTTGTCGTGTTTTCCCCAACCCCATGGTGGACCTAAGATGTTTAATATTCATACATATACAAACAATTAGAATTGAACTATTGACATGATCAACAAATCACAAGAACTTACATCAACTTTGTATCCAACTTTTCCGTGTTGATGATGACCACCCCAGTGATTGTCCTTCTTCCATGGGTCAGCCATGGCAGCGGAAACAGCAAGGATAGCGAAAAGAGCGACAATCTTAAAGAATCAAAGTGAAAGAAAAAAACAATATTAAATCACAGAAATTATATAAATCTATCTCCAACATATTCGTTTAGGTGATTCAACTCACAGCGAAAACTTTCATTTTGATTATTAGTTTTTTTATTGAGATTCACAAAAGAAGAATTGATTTGATTGTTGTTTGTTGGTTGACTGTTAACTCGAAATGATACTTTCAACCATCTTGTGGGGTAGAGTTTTAGATTTGAGGGATTAGATGGATTTGATTATCTTAATAAAGATGAGGTTGAGTTTCAATACTCGGAAAAGTCACTAGACTTAGAATTAGAAGATTCTCAGTTCCACAAATAACTGAATTTCAGATTCTTTCAGGACCGATGATTAATCTAAATCTGCACTTGAGTCTACTAATCACTGAAATGATATTGAATTAGATGGAGTTAAACAATTAACATGAAAGTTTTTAATTAAGAGCAATTGAATTTTAACACAAAGTAAAGTTAATACTTCAAGGGTAAGACAATTACTAAAGATGAATATGGAAGATTGTTCCTAAGGAACTAATCTTGGGGGGTTACAATTAAAGAAAATTAAAATGGGGTAAACACAAATTAATTCTAAATCATCTTTTGATAAGGAGACAAAGATCTTGGTTACAATTTACTAAGAGGTAAAAGTAACAATTGTTAACCTTATGGTTAAGATGATGAAGATGAAAAAGAAAAAGATAAAGATAAAGTTAACCTTTTCATAAGCTTGTAGGCTTGGGCTAAAAGTAAAAACAAAAGAAAGATAAAAGAAAGAGGGATAGAAAGAAGAAAACGGGTCTCTTACTTTTGTGACACAAATTTGATCACTTTAAGCTTAAGAGATTTTGTGGTTTTTACAATTCTAAGAATTAGTTAATTGTTAATTGTAACAATTTAACAATATAGATTTTTCTCTATATATCTTTAGATATTGTAATTGATTAATTAGAAATTTGTAATTGGTTAATCAACCAAAGGATAATTAAGACAATAATAGTTGTAAATTAATTCAATCAATTAGATTAGGGATACTAATCAATCGTATTGGTAAGTTACAACAATTAAGGTTTACAATTATAGTTGAATGGGTTGGATTAACAATTTTTAACAATAGAAAATTAAATTGAATAAATAAGAAAATTAAGAAAATTAAATTGTTCATTTTCATCACCATATCATGATAGTGATTGGAAAACAAAGACTGAGGATTTCAGAATTTCTACCCTTCAGTCCCTAGCACTTTGACAAAGATACTTCTTCAGGATTTGATTTCCAATTCGATTATAAGTGATTGGTGATGATGAGGATGGAATTGGGGTTGAATTTTCGGGTTTTCCTTGGGATTCAAAGGATGATGGTGGGTCTGGCATATTCTCTAGAATAACTGAAGCAGCGCTTGGTAAGCTATTCTTTGGGAGATTTGGTGATGGAGTTGATGAGGAGATTGATGAAATTGGTGATGTTGCTACATTTTTATAATGAGCATGAAGTTGAGATGAAGATGAGAGGGGAATCCTTTGACCATCAATTTCATATTCTGTAGGAATATTGTTTCTTCTTAAAACTGAAGTCGGGATTTGGAATACAGGGAGAGGCTTAGGTGATGTGACTTGAGATTTCCTTGGAGATGGAATCTTCGGGGCTTCATTTGATTGTTGATTTTGTGATGATGAGATTATGGTGGAGATGGATGATGAAGTTGATGATGAGAGGGATGAGGTTGGAGAAACACAATTGTATGAATTGTATTCAGGGACGGATTCATGTCTTTGGTAATATGACCAATCGAGAGGCCATTTCGCTTTCTTGGCTTCTACCAATTCACTGAATTTCCGATGGAGATAAGAAACTTTGTTGTTTCTCAGGTAAACGTTCATCGTTTCATTGTGAATTCCATGACCAGTGGATTTGACTTTCTCTTCGATTTCCGTCCAAAAGAACATGTAGAGTCTCATAGAAGTGAGAGCTTCGACGGCAGGAGAATGAGAATGACCACGGATGGTATAGCCTGAGAGGAGAATGAAAGCGATAAGGGAGAGAGAGGCAGGTGAACTTCGATAGGGTGAAAAATAGATTGTTACATCTCGAAGTTTAGGTCTTAGAATGTCGATTTCTGGTGGGGTTAATTGTAGACTTTTTAATAAGGTAATTAGTCCAGCACCGACAATTTGTTTCGCACAGGCCAAATAACATAAAACTTGATCTCGGACTGAGGCCAAATGTTTTGCGAATTTAAGATTTTCTTTCTTCAGTCCATGAAAGTGGGAATCCATGTAATCAATGTCTTTATAATGAACAAGAGTCTCATAGACAATCTTGCAATTTCCATCAATAATAACGATCCAAACGGGGTGAGGGATAATTTTTCTAATTCCTTCTGAATTAAATCGTTCAATTCGAACGTAGGCCGCATTTATCGAATATACATTCGAGGGATCGGGATGTTCATCAATATTTGATTTTAAAAGTTCTTGTTGTCGAGTTGAAAGTTCTTCGACTTGTGATGAAACGAGATGATTAAAGATGATGGTGGCTTTATTTTTTCTGTTTGCTCTATATTCGAGTCTTTGTGGATTAGTGGCAGTGGGAAAGTTGTTGAGGGTTACCAATTCTCGGAGTGAGTGAGGAAACCATTGGGAAATTTTTTCTTTAATTTCATTTTGTTCTTCTTGACTGAGTCTAAGAAGTGGGTTGATGGCGGTGTAGGGATTAACTGGTTCACCAGAATCCGGGGAAACGGGAATAGGAGAACGAGGTAGGTTGTTGTTCATCCTTCCGTTACTTAAGTTCAGCCATTCTTCTGAATCATTTATCAGATAATGAGGGACAGGATTTTTTCCTAAGACAGGCCAGGAAGTAGTTCTGGGTCGAGAGGCAGAAGGAGCGGGAGGATGAATTGATGGGAAGCCTATTTGCTGAACAAATTCTTCTTCTTCAGAAAGAGGAAGAGTGGGGTCTCGGGACTTATGGAAAGTAGTCCAAAATCCTAATCTGAGGTTAGCATGAGATCGGATTTGAGTATCGGAGAGGAGAGGATCTTCAGGGTTGTCTTCTTTATTTACGAGAAGGCAAGCGTAGAGTTCGAACTTTTGTTCAAAATCAAACTCATGAGAAGAGTAAGTGATTTGAGGACGAGGAGCTAATTTTACGTGAGGTGGGATGAAACTAATTAATCTTTTTGGATTAAGTTCTTCAAGTTCTTTAACTGAGGAACCATGATGAAAGATAGGAATTGAATTAAGATCAACTTCTTCTCTGAAAAGTCCTAAACGACAAACATTTTCGTGAGTAGAGAGTAGATTCGGACTGAGATTTTTTGAGCAAAGGGTATACCGACATGTGAATTTGCATGATCGATAGCTAACGTAAGTACTTGAATAAGAGACTGAGCTGTAGGTGGGATAATCATCTATCGATGCAAAGGTTTGAAGACATGATGGGGTTAAGCATATGAATTTAGTTGGTTTTGATGGAGGTGATAATTTTAATAATGAGATTAAATTTTGGATGAAGATGATACATTTGGTACAATACCAATGCTTACAAAAATCGCATTCAACTGGGGTCAGAGCGATTTGCTCGCAGAAGAAACAGCGAATTTTATTAATGAAATTGTCTAACTGTTCATGGAAGACTGAGGGCTTGGAAATACCTTTAGGTATTTTAGGAAGAGGGATGGAATAGATCAGAGCATCTTGATAAAGATTGAGAAAAAGTTTTTCTCGGATCATCTTCTCAAATTTAATTCTGATATTTTTAAAGTTCTGATTTTTCATTAGAACGATTTTCCTAACTTCATGATATTTTTCAAGGGAAACATGAGCAGGGAGTTCAAGAGGTAAAGGAGCGGGTACTTCGGTAAAACGGGTTTGAGGCCATTCATTGGGTTTGGGATACCTTTCAGGATAACTAAGGGAAGGCATGAACCAAGTTTTGGATGGACGAGACACAACCTTACCTTTGTCTTCCTCCATGGGTGATCGAAGTGTAATTTTCTTCGGTGGTTGTTTCGATGAAGATGAATTGGAGGAATCTAAAGATTCGATTGAAATTGTCCGTTTCAATGGCCGGGGATGAATGAGAGGAGATGAAAACTTTACACTTTTCAAAACACTGAGTGAATTTTCTGGTTCAGGGTCAATGGTAAAACACGGGAATTTGTCAATTGGGGTTTTTCCTTTATTGTTGAGATCTGGGGTATAGTCTATTTCTGAGTAACAATCAGAATCATCATCGACAGTAGCACACAAGGAACGAAGGAGATGCACTTGAGCACGTTGATGAGTCGAGGTTGATGGAGATGAGACACTGAAAGGTGTGGGCGATGGTTCACTGTTTTTATCCATCTCGAAGAGTGGACAATTTAGCTTTTTTAAGCGAGGAGATGAGTGATTAGGTGGAAGATGATTAAGGCGAGGAAAGTTAATAAAAGCACTTTTTAATGTACCGGAGGTACTTAAGTACGAACTGATGATGAGGAGAGGAAAACACTTAAGATTGTAAAAGCTAACAATGACTAATTGATTATTGTAGCAATTAATTAAATTGTAACAATTAGAAAATTTTCAACAATAAGGAAAATTTGATGAAGTAAATCTTTAGATTTGATTGAGATGAAGAAATTGTCAAGGTTGAGAAAAGGACAAAAAATGAAAACTAATGTAATCAAGTTACTTCTGGTTGACCAAAGGGTTAACTGAAGTAAGACAAAGGAAGAAGTGGGAGTAAACCACAAGTGTTACTAACGCCGTCAACTGTGGGAAAGTGAAACTCAGATAAGAGAAGGTAATTAACATATTGTCCAAATATGGAAAAATTAAAATTCGATTTTAAATTAAATTCGAAATTAACATTTGTTAATTTAGCTTGTTCGAAATTAGAATTAACAATATCACTATAGTGATTTAAGTTAATTCTTAACAGAGATTTTGAATTATAATTATTATAATTATAACAATCAATGGGATTAAATTTAATTAGAGAAAAATTTTCATTATCAACATCTAACAATGTAAATGTTAACAATATGAAGACTTTTTTGGCTTTTAATTGTTGACGAGTTAAGATTTTTTCTTGATTGTTGACAATCAACTGTTTTTGATCAATTATTTGTTGATCTGAAGTTCGATATTTTCTTTTCGGTTTTAGATTGTTGAGTTGTTGGTTATCATCAGAATGATTTTGGGTTAATTGTTGACAATTTAAATTTGAATTGTCAAGTGATTGAGATTGAGGAAAA